CTCTGGGGGATTGAACCGCGGTCCCTGATGCTTTTGCTAAGCTTGTTCTAAGTAGGTGCTTTAGACCACTGAGCCATCTCTCCAGCCCCTTTTCCCCCCTTTTTAAAACTTCTCCCATTGACTTAATTAGGGTGTGAACTGAGGTGCAGGTGGTCTGTAAGCCTACCATCTTTTTAAATATATATGGAAGACAGGCCTGGAGCCACAAGCTGTCTTCCAGCAGTAGCTGCCTCTACAGCTGGGGAGAAGAGCTCTGCTTTTCTCTCAGAAAATGAGTATTCTGACATTAATGTGAGGTCCTCACAGTGAGGCCCCTCCCAATCTGAAGAGAAAAAACGACAGACCACCACCCTGTTCAAGCAGGAAGCACCCCACCCCACTCAGCCTGACAGACTAAAATAAATCCATGTATCAGGACAGCTCCCAGCCCTGCTTTTCAGGAAACACTGTAAATCTACAGAAATCCTTGGTTCCACCAAAGAAAAAAAAAGCATGCCATGCTGTACATCAGCAGAGTACCACTGTCATCCTGACCTCCCTCCCCCACAGAGGCACAGACCCACCCATGTCCCCTGGTGCCCTCCCATTCCTAGTCTATCACGCAGACTCTCCTCCTCTGTGTGTGGTCCATGGCCTTCTCACCCTTGAGCAGGCTGCACCTGGCCAGAAATAGATACTGCTGTCCTTCCCTCCTGCCTGTCCTCAGTGCTCCCAGCTGCTCCCTGGAGTCCCGCCTGACAATGAAGGCTTGTTCATTATTATTATTTTTTTTAATTTTATTTATTTATTTATTTGTGTGTGTGTGTGACCAGCTCAGCCCTGGGGGGAGGGGGTGGCTGGCGTGGGGTGCTGGGGGATTGAACCGCAGTCCCTGTGCTTTGCTAAGCTTGTTCTAAGTAGGTGCTTTAGACCACTGAGCCATCTCACCAGCCCTTGTTCATTATTTTTAAACGATTTCACTTCCCAGGAAATGCAGAGAAGTCTCAGATGAATTTTACTTCTTTTTTTTTTTCAAAGTTTTATTGATAAACAGATAGCAATGAGACAGTTTCAAATCAAATTGGAAGTACAGTTTCAACAAATAATACACTGCATATACTCTTCTTAGTGGTTAATTACTGTACAAGATGCGGACTTGTGATCCTATTTACAAACACCATTAGAACAAATCATTCTATTCATTAAGAGAATGCAACTATATATCTATCCCAACCACTTTGAATACACAGATACAAAATGGACATTCATAGGTATACCCCATTTTTTCTAAGTTCCGTTATTGAATGTTATAGGTGTGTAAACTCAGCAAAATATTCTAAAAGAGTCCAGTAGCCCATAATAGCATTGGGTCTTCTGTTTAACTGGCAATGTCAGAAATTATTGACCTGAGTCCCCCACAGCTCAACTTCTTTTATGCGTTATAATTAGAATAAGTTACAGTATGTGACTACAATTGTTGCAGACAGCTGAGTTAGATAAAAATATTAAAGGCAATCGGGCAGGATTAGGTCCTTAAGGGGACAATATGGAAGGCCAGATGCCTTCCTGTCTTCACTGTGCAAGAGACAGACACACTCCCACTGTGGGCCAGACCTCAAGAGAAAAGACCAAACAAATGTATACCTAGACATCAGGAATTCTAAGTAAGTCTCTCACCTTGAGGACACTTGGAAATCACCAACCCAGTCCTCTACAGGAAAAGTTCCATTCTACATTCATGCCTGTTTGATACATGACTCACTTCCCATGTGGTTTTGGATTTAACCAATTTGACCTAAGCAATTGAACTGGTAATCTTACTGGTTGACCATACTTTTGTCCTACCTCAAGCCCACCTAAGCAAGTTCCCATGTTTTCCACCTTAGACCCACCTCACTACATTGTTTTACTCTATAAAAAAAATCCCTGGAAGACATAGGTTGGGGGCAACATGGTGGGGTCCCCTTTCTGTCCCTTTCTTGGACAGGAGCTTTCTTTCCCCCAGTAAATATATTCTGCCTTTAACCTCTGTTGTTCCTAAAATTCTCTTCAGTTTTGGAGAACAGGAACTCAGCTCAGGTACTTTTCAGATTGTGAGTTTTATTCCTCTATATCAAAATGACTTTTCATTTAAAAATATTGATAGGGGGCCTGGCCCTAGCTCAGGCCTTTAAGTGGCTGCTTCCACAAAGCTGTCAGCCTCAGGTTGCTGGAGTTCGAACCTCACACCTCTCCCGCTGTCCAATAGTGCCCTGAAGGCATTCGAGGAACCAAAAAAAAAACAAAAAACCCCTATTAAAAATATTGATAATGGGTTTTATTTTTAGTTGTCCACACTTTCGTGGATTATTTAGTACCTCTTCCTATGGCCCACAATGGTATACACAGAAATATATAAGAAAACTTGTTTTCAGAGTTACAAATGGTTTATTCATGGTTGGAAATCTGCAAACTTCTAGATTCTAAAGTGCTGTGGTGTGGTTTGGCCTTAAATATTAAGAAAATAAGGAAAATTGGGAATTGTTTTAAGAGTTGTGAATCAAAATAGTTTTGCTGTACTTCTGTCAAATTCTTCATAGATGATTTCCAGGTAGCTAGTGTGATACTACTAATTTGTAAACATTTAATTTCCAGGGCTGGGGAGATGGCTCAGAATAAGCGCTTGCCCGGCAAGTACAAGGGCCTGAGTTCAATCCCTGATTCCACACACACACAAAAATAACCCAACAAGATATGTCATTTAGGGGCCGGGGTAAGCTGTATTCTTCGGAGTAATTACTTTGTAGCTAAATGTGGCTTCTACCTGACCAGATCCATTCAGCATGTATCACCCATCTCTAGTTTGACTCTCCTGGAGATGGCACTGGGAGTGGGAACAGGACACAGGGCCAGAGCTTGTGAATCTAGTCGAATGAGAACAGGCAGTCAGCAGCACTGGTCGGAGTGAGGCTGAGTCAAACTATGAAATGTATTTTCCTTTGTGAAACTGAATACTGTCTTAGTTACTCTTTACTCGGTGCTGGGACAAATACCAGACACTCTAAATGAAGGAAGAAAGGGTTATTTAGCTCACAGTCACTGGAGGGTTCAGTCCATATTCTGCGGGCTCCAAGGCAAAGGACAGCAGTTCATGCGACTGAAAATGAGAGCAGAGGAAGAGCAGCAGCTGCGGGGTCCTTCAAGCCTCTGTCTTCCTTCTCCGCTGACTGCGAAGACCGGCGCTCCACAGTGAAGCTCGGAGCGCCTCCAAAGTGGCCTGGCTGCGAAGGTCAAACTCCTCTGAAGACGGACTTGTCCTGCAAATGGGCAGGGCGCAGGAAGTTGGGCAGGGGGCAGGAAGCCTTTCTCAATTCCTGGGCCCTGCCCACCTGCAGGACCTGGCCCCCAAGCTAAGAACTGCCTGCGCTGAGTCAGCAAAGTTAGTTGACACAATGTATCAACTAACACAAATACCTTCAACAAATCAGTAAGTACACGCGTTAAAAAGTGCGATGTGTTGCTCTGGGCTGATGGCTGGGTGTCATTACAGTTGAGCAGCTTTGATCATTGAATAGGAAAGTCGCAGTTACTTTCCTCAGTCTCCAACTCTCCATTATTAACACATTTCTCAGGTCTCGACCCGCGCCACGAATTGCCTCAGAAGAGCGCAGAAACAACTCCACGCTCCCACCCCACTCTCTGCAAGTTGCGTTACCCAGAGAAGGTTGAGGTACCTCTTAGCAACAGGCTTACCTCTGCCGAGACCCCGCCCAATGAGCGACTGTCCCCCCCCCCGGGATGCATGCCGGGAAATGTGGCTTTCCCTCCGGCTTCTAACGGGTTCAGCGTGTCCTGGACTACACTGCCCAGGATACACCGCGCCACCTTCTCCAGAGGGGGAGGCAGCAGCAGTGAAGTGGCCTTTGGGGGCGCTGGAGTGGGGAGGAACCCAGCCCAGGGCCCAGCAGGTATTTGCGGTTTGGGTGGAACAGGGCTGGAGTACCGCGCCTCCCCCGGGGAAGGCGCGTTAGGGGCATTGGAGGGCCTGGAGGACTGCAGCCTGCGCTGCGGGCCAGACAGCTTGATGCGCGGGGTGTGATACTTTGAGGGACGCAGTCTCTGAGCCGACCAGGGATTATGGGAAGGAGTGTGGGTTGGGGCGGGCTCGGGAGTTCAAAAAAGACCGGCATATCGAGTAGATGAGCTGATGCGGTCCTACGGGCTTTACTAACCGCTGCTAGAAAATTGCCCCCGTGGGAGAAGTTGAAAAATAGGAGGTCAGAGATTCCTCGGTGTATAGTGGGCCAAACCTATTTGAGGGCTGCGGAGATGGCTCAGTGGAATAAGCGCTTCCATAGCAAGCTCTAGGGCCTGAGTTCAATCTCCAGTTCGCCAAAGGAAAACAAACAAACAAACAAACCTTGTGGAATTGGGAATACTGTTCTAAGTGGAATTTTGGTAACATTTGACACAACTGCTTATATTTTCCTACTTCTGGTTTTCTGTGGGGTTTTTTTGGGAGGGGTGTTGTTGCTGTTGTTCGTTTTCTGTAATGGAATCTAACTTAGGTCCTTGTCCTTGCCAGGCAGGCATCAGTGCCCCTGAGCTAGATCCCCAGCCTGTTCCAAGTAGGGTGAGCCTGGTTTATGACTATTGTGAAGGGACATTTTTCTCGTAGTGGAAATTGTGTCAAGGGGTAAGCAGAGGCCACGCCCACTCCCCCGTGCTGAGTGCTGCCCAGAAGCAGTCAGGAGTGCTGCCTGGGAAAGGTTTTGGCCACGTATCAGGTACCCACTATCTTCCCATGTTCTTTTTCGCGGGAGGAAATGCCCAAGCACTGTATTGTAAGTACTGGAGAAGCCTGAGAAAGTCCATTAAATTATCTAGCGCCTTTGCTTCTCACAAGCTCTCCCCTACGGCAACAGATGTTGACGTCTTCAAAGGGTAAAGTGGGAGAAATCTTGAGAACCCTGGGAGCCAGGCACCGTTACCCTGCGCCTTCGTCTTCTTCCTTGTTGCCTCCGTCTCTCAGTTCTTTCTGTTCTCTTCAGTAGGGACAGTGAGCCTGCTGCAGTCACATTTCGTGTGATCTGGACAGTGCTGTGAAGGAGACGCGTGCGGCACCCAGAGCCCTGAGATGGTAGGCAGCGCGCAGAGGGGCATTGTGGGAATGCGCACACCATCCCTCACACGGTTCCTGGGCCGCAGAGCTCTCGCCTGCCTGAGTGCTGTGGGGTCTGGTTGAGCAGGACCAAGGTGTGGTCCTTACAGGAGCATGATGGGAAATAGCTCTGGCAGCAAACTTAAGCCCCGATGTCCAGCTGGGAGTGTTTCTAAACAGCCGTCCTGAGGATTGAGGACTCGCATGCGTGGAATAGTTGAAAACATTTCTAGTCAGCTTGTATCCTAGCTGCGAAGGTGTGCATGTGACATGGGAAAACTGGGGAAGAGAGACTTATATGTACGTCCATGTGCCACGCGGGTCAGTGAGGGCTGTTTCCACGCTCTGAATAACTCCGATTAGAAACTAGGAAAGCATAAAGGACTTCTGTCTCTCCATGTGATTGGTGCTTCTCCCTTTGGTGGCCCAGCAGGAGACAACACAGCTCATGCTCCATTTCCCATTTCTTCCTTTTTTTATTATTTTAATTTTTAAATAGATTGCACATTGAAAATAAATTATTTACAAACATAAATGAATATAACAATACAAATTGTCCAAAATAAAAATGAAGAAAGAATTTACAGATCAGTCATAATAGTTCACTGCGTCAAAACCAAGAAAAACTTTTATTCATATAATTAGAATTCTCAAAATAGAAAGGAGTAGGCAATAAATATTTAAAGATTTAAAATTTCTGAATTTAGTTCAACTTATAATACCTCAACCATTTCCCATTTCAACAGGAATTCGGTGGAACCAGGGATTGAACTCAGGCCCTTGCGCTTGCCAGGGAAGCGCTTATCCTACTGAGCCATCTCCCCAGCCCCCTGATTTTGTTAATGTCATTTGTTTTTCCCATTTTAGGCACCAAAAGCTAAGAAAGCCTTGAAAGGTGAGTGGAAAAATGGCACATTACCCTTACACCAAATACATATCTTCCTCCCCTTCGATTCCAAAATAATGTAGCTCTATCTGTGTTTGTGTTTCTGGGCAGGAGTCGGGGTGTCGCCTTCTGGCAGAGTACTTGGCTCTGAGAACTAGATTCTTCTCCCAGTATCTCTTCAAAACAAAAAACCCCCGGTTCCACCAAAAAAAAAAAAAAAACCTCTCTTGTTGAGAGTCCTGCTATTTCTCTCATAAATCTTTAGGGAACCTTGGTTGTCTGAGGGGGCTTTTTATAAGCTACCTTTTGATACTCAGAAAAATTCAAAAATAAGTAAAAAATGGAGTTCTAGAGCAGTCCTTTCCATTGGGTTCTAGATCCTGAAGTACACGATTGTGGCTGAGCCTGGTAAAGCCTCCTCAGTAGATGAGGGAACCATCCATATGCACATTTAGCTTCCCCTAAGGTGGCTAGTGACAGGTCTATAGAACCTAGAAATTTTTTTTTCTTTTCAGGGATTGAACTCAGGCCCTTGCACTTGCTGGGCAAGTAGTTATTCCACTGACTCATCTCCCTGGCCCCAAGCCTAGAAATCTGGATCACTTTCATTGTTACTGTTTTGAGATGGGGTATCACTATGTAGGTCAGGCTGGCCTGGAACTCACAATGTAGCCCAGGCTGGCCTTGAACTTGCAGTGATCCTCCTGCCTCAGCCTCATAAGTGCTGGGACTATAGATGTGTGCCAACACACCTGGCTTGGACAACTGTATGTTTGTTTGTTTGTTTTTGGTGGAAGCAGAGATTGAACTCAGGCCCTTGCTCTTTTTTCCAGGCAAGTGCTTATTCTATTGAGCAATCTCCCCGGCCCTTTTTTTGTTTTTTAATTTTAGAATTACACTAGGTTCTTTCAGAATGTGGAAAACTGGTTGCTGGCTAATGTGTTGTTGGAGAGGCAGATAGAAAGGAGTTTCCACTGAAAATCTTTGCTATCATCTGATGGGAACTTTGCTTTGCATTTCTTTTTTTTTCCATAATTTTATTGAGAAATAAATAACAATGAGATGGTTTCAAATCAGATTGGTAAGACAGTTTCAATAATTAACATATTGCATACTGTCCTCCTAGTGGGTATTTGCTGTACAAGATGCAGACATGATATCCTATTTACAAACACTATTATGACAAATCCCTCTATTCATTAAGAGAATGTAACTATATATCT